TGCCCACCAACTGCCATGAGTGAAAGGAAAGAGCAGCTTTCCTTATTAAAAATTTTTGGGATCAGACTTACTTTATGTTGCTGAAAATCCAGCGCTGCTCTCATGGTGGTGCAGTAAGGGAAAGGTGTTATTCTGGAGAGCGTTGTGTGTTTTAATTCCCTTTTCTTCTTTCAGGCATTTATATCCCTGAGGATGACTTGAGCGCCCCAGAGAGGTTTCGTGGCATTGGTGTGCGCATTGAGGATGATGTTCTGATAACAGAGGGTGCGCCTCTCATCTTGTCTGCTGACTGTCCCAAGGAGATCTACGACATCGAGCAGATCTGTGGCCGCAAGTCATGATGCCCCTTCTCTGCTTCTTTCATCCTCTTTGGGAGAAGCAGGGCTCCAAGGATGCACGTCCCTGTGGCTGTCAAGTGCTGAAGGATTTGGACAGTTGATGGCTGTTTCTAAGAGAGGCTGGGTGAAAAAGCAAAGCAACCTCTTCTGTGTGCATTTTCCTCTGATTTGATTAGTGCTGATGCTGAGCTGTAGGACATGGGGGTGGATTCATCCCTATTCTGCAAAGATCCAGTTGTTCTGGTGCCCTTGGAGGGATGAATTTTATCAGGAGGGATGAATTTTATCAGTGCCACCAGCAGGGCTTCTGCCCTCTCCAAGTGCATAGGTGTAAATGCTGAGACCGGCCGGCGCCCCCATTTTTTCCCCTTCAGCAGTAGTTTCACAATGGATTTTAAAAATGGAAGCTTTGATAAATGCTGTTTTAGGGGCATAAAGTGTGTCAGACAGCTTTGATTTTTACAGAGCCCTGGAAGGAGGGGTTTTGGTAGTCAGGAAGATGAGTTTGGTTGGGAGGTAGTTTTATCTGAAGCCTCTGGAGAACACTTACAGTATTTTAAGCATAAGGGTGTGTTTGGGCCTTGTGCAGGCATATGCAAAATAGGCCAGCAGCAGGCAAAAACATCTTGTCCGGTCTTTGAGCTTATTGGAGTGTTTGGTAATTTCAGAAAGGACAGACAGGACTCAGAAGGTTGGACATACCAGTTCTTGCTGTCTTCCACGTTCTCTTCTTTTTGTGCTACATGTGTGTCCTGTTCTGAGCCTGCCTCTACCCTGGGAGCAGGGCAGTGTTGTCTGTGCTGTGTTCTACTGGTGAGCTGCTGGTTGTCACCTAGATGTGAGGTTTCCAGTTCTGGGACATTCACAGTATCTTTCTGGTTTATGCTGTAAGTACCAGCAACTTCAGCAGTGTATTTTTTGAAGACTCTGCCCTATGGCAAGTCTCAAGTATTTCTATGGCTCTTATATGGAATTTAAAGTAATTCTCTTTTTCAAAACTCTGAGGGCATGATCACAGCTGCCTTTTGGGTTTTGCCAAGTGCAGTCAGTAACTAATGCTCTGTGATAATATTTTTGAGGCAGCTGCAAATGTGAGTAGAGGCTATAACAGATGACAAGAAAAGGGAAGAGTTACCTTTCCTTAACATCAGCCTAAAGCACAGACCAATGTTTACAGTAGTAAATTCACCTACTAGAGGCAAACATGGCATCTGTTTATTTATTGAAAGTATTTTGACAATCAGCTATCTGATGTGTCTGAAAAATGCCTCTCATCAGTGCATGTCCTATTATTTATGCTTGCTGTTGCATGACATTATACTTCCTTTCTGATGGTAGCTTTCAGTATTTTTCATCTGTTATTCTCAATTTTCCTTCTTTTTCTTTTCTCTTCCTACATTGTCTATCTTTGACCCACTGTAATGTGACTGCTTCCTAATCCATTTTGCTTTCTAATCAACATCACTGCCTCTTCCCCAGTTTACCCTAATTCCCCACAGTAAATGTAGTCAGAAGCACGTGGGGAAGGTAGTCAGGGTTCCTGAGGTCAACCTCTGTCTCTGCTGCTATGTAACCTCAAGCAAAATCTGGGGGGTTTCTCTTTTTTTATTCTTCTCAGTGTTTCATTTCACTTAGTAAAGGCCAAATGGACGGTGTCTTTTGTCTGTCATTGCTTTTAGTGGAAGCTGGGTGCATGCACTGGGGTTTGAATTGAAGGGCAGCCAAGACATGCTATAATTTTGTTTTTCAAACATGATGAAAAGTAACTGCTTTTACAGAGTTTAGTGTATCAAGTTTCACCTGGTTAAGGGAATCCGCTAATGGAATCTGCTTGGTGCTCATGCATTACGGTGATACATGCAGTGTAAATTGTTAGCAGGAAGGCATTTTAAGTGTGAGTACAGAACCAATGAATACTTTTGATGTTGTTCTGGCCTGTAACACATCTGTGGTTTCGATTACACCTGTTAGAGCCATGTGAACCGAGACAAAAATTGGCTTTTGGAATTATGTGAGAGACTTAAAATAACTAACTGAGAGCTATATGTGTGTGCTGGTCTGCATGTCTGCCCATGTACCTAGCCAAGTTAATAACTGTACCTGCTATAAATAACACTTCAAAATACATATTTAAAACTAATTTTAAAAATAAAACAATTTGTAGAAAGTAGTTTGTTAAGCCATCAAGATACAGGGCTACTGAAGAGATAGAAACACCTCCAGAAAGAGTGTTATTTTCCAGGGAGATTTATAAATTATCTGTGACCTGTCCTAAACTTGAAATAACATTGTGAAATGGAGGCACACACTAGTTCATACTCCTCTCAGGAATATCTTGCAACTTGCAGACACCATTAGATCTTAGGAATGTTATGGACAAATGTTTCTGCCAGTAAAGAAGTGCTTGTGACTCTGCTGAGTGGGGAGTAATGGATTTGCTAGTGCTGCTGTGCCCCACCATGCCACATATATCTGATTTGCTGTGCATAGCTCCACATTCTGTAGTTCTGGCACAGCACTCAGCCATTTCTGCAGCATAAGCTGCTGCTAATGTTTTGAATCCATTGTTCTATTGTCGTGGTAAAGAAGAGTGCATTTTGCAGAATGTATTAAATTTGAGTCTTATCAACCTGCATTTTTTGAAAGCTTTTTCTCAGTCATTGCAGAGGGGGATAACCAGAGTATCACCTGGAACCTACATAGATGCTGCAGTGTCCCTTGAATACAACCAAATCCATGCACATTTTACATGACCTTCATCAAGAGACTGTAAAGAATCCCTTCTCCAGCAGCAGGTACTCATGTGTACCTCCTCGCTAACCAATCCCATACTGCCAGTTTTAGTCTCTCTGCCATAGAAGAGATTCCTCACTCCAACCACTTGGGTGCAGGAGCAGCTCGGTGGCAGTACAAGTCACCAGCTGCTTCATGAGGGTGTTGGTGCGATCACTGGAAGTGAAAGGGGAGCTGAGGTATATGCAAGTTCACTTGGGGAGAGATTTTATTGCAACTGGTCTTAAGGGTATCAGAGTTAAGAGAAAATTGAAGCCAGCCACCTCTATGGAAAAGCTGCTTTGCTTTCAGAGGAAGCCCGGGAGGCTTTTAGCATTACATTTCACCTTCTACCAGGGGACTGCTTTGCCTTGCAGAGAGCTAGCTAGTAGTAAAATCGTGTTGTTAACATATGGTCTGAGCAGAGGTGCTAATTTGCAGGTATGCTTCTGTCATCCAAGTGGAAAGAAATTTGTCATTTTACACAATTTGGCATTCTGTTATCTGTGAAGAATACAGTATGTCTTTCCTATAATTGAATTTTGCAAAGGAACCTGGTGGTGTAGGAAGAGGCAAATTGAGGGAGCATGTAGAAGAAAATGAAGGTGGAGGTTTGGGGGAATATACAATGCAATGGAGAAGATTCAGGGAAAGAGTGTGATCTGAAGCTGTGGGGATGTGTACAGGTGGATGCAAGAGCAAGCAGAGAACAACAGGGTATAAAATGATTATTCAGTGTGTTGTCAGTATGGTGCAAAAGCTTCAGGAAACTGGTTAACCAGCAGGTCCTGATCGATTTGTCCTACTCAGGAGAGGGAAACAAAGGAGTCAGATTGTATTGATGAACTTAGTCTTAACAGTTAGTTTAATTATTTCTTTTAAAAATCAATAGAATTATCATACGAGAAAGTTTTCTGCAGTTTCATGTTATTGATCATGTGTCATATTTTAAATAATGTGAAGGAGAAAAAGTACATTTCTAGACAGAATCTTCATTATGATGGAGAGAGCAAGGCTGAGGTTACCTGCTCTTATGCTTCCCAAATTACTGCTGTGGAAATTTAGTAATTACTCCCAGGAGAATTACCATAAAGCAAAAAGAGTTAGGGTTAAATTTAGACAAAAATCTATACAAGATAAGTGACAAAAATGCTTTAATAATGATGAGATGCTTTAATACTTTGTGTAATTTGATAACAAAACTCTACACTGCAATTAATTGACATTTTTTATTTCTTTTGAGCTGAGTTGTCCCAAATCCCATCTAGGCATCTCTTCATTAGCATGCAGATCTAAACTGCATTGAAGTTTATAATTTTCTGGGATCATTACAGCATCTCTCTTAAATGTGCTCCCTACGTGCATGTTCAGCCTCCACTTGATTAAAAATCATCATTTGGACACCGTCACAGTGCTGGCTCTAGGAGTGGATCTGACTTAGAATATTCACTGTATTTCAGAAGTGTAACATTAAGTTATGTTTTAAAGCAGAATTATAATTGAGATGGACAGCGAAGCATGTGATCTCCATGCTGTTCAATTTCTCCCTTCAGCTACTTTCTCCTTCTCAGAGTTTGTCTTGTCTTAACTGGCTGCCGGCCCCAACCCTTCCTCACCAGCAGCAAGTGGAGCAATGGACCCTTGTCTTCCTGAGACAAGCTATGGTGCCTCAGCCCAGCTGGTTGTTTCTCTGAAACACCACCTGATACTTGGTTAACCAAAACCAGACTCTTCAGAAGATGGGCAGAAAGGAGCAAGGAAGAATTTCCAGGTCCTCCATGTGTGTTACCTTCTCTTGCTGACTCATGCCACGTATGCCTTTTTAACTACCATGACAGAGTTATCCATTAACAATGGCAAAGAAAATGAAAATGTTTCCTGTCTGTGTAAGTCTGATGTTGAGATTTTTGAGCAAATGAGAAGTTAACAAGAAAGCTGGTTGTAGGCCCAGGAGTGAGAATAGCTCCTGTAGGCTTCATTCTGTTCCTCCTCCTTGGATGCTGGGGAAACAAGAAGCACTGCAAGGAGCCATGTGCCGTCTCAATTTGAGAGCTTCTTGCAAATGCTGGTTTCCAGCATGGTGTCATTGGCCAAAACTGACAGTGGTTGAAGCTCTGTTGTTGGTTTTCTCCTCTCAAGACCATGAGGCTGTGGCTTTTCAAAGGGTTTCATGATTCTGGCAGCAAAAGTTGGGAAAACTCAGCCTGTTTTTCAGTCATCAACTAGAAGTTTGCAGTCCAGCAAAAACTGGTTGAAATGCAGCATTTCGTAGGGAAATTGGCTCACTGTGTTTTTGGTCAGTAAATCAGGTGAATATGAACAATAGCATGTGAGAGGGAGAAAAGCTCAGGTTCTTTTTATTCCTAGGCAGAACAAGACTTCTGCCTCAATGTGCACTTCTGGGAAATTAGCACAAAATGGGATTAGTCCACTGATCCAAACTGAGATTAAGCAGTCTGACTCTTGTACCAGGAAATATTTAGCAGATGCTGTATAATCTCTTACCATGTGAATCTTCTACTCAGAGAAGTGATACTAAAGTTTGGGGATAATATACTTTGCTTTTCAAGTCTAATGTGCACACAGAGTGCGACATATAACATCAGTTTTGCCTATGGGAGCTACAACCAATACCTCTGTAATAAATATTACATCTCAGTTGTGTACAGGTAGAAAACATTGTAGTCATTCAGAGAAAGTGCAGCTGTTAATGGCACAAAAGGGGCTGGGGTTTAAGCTCTCTCTGTGCAGGTCTCATTCCAGGCTACAAAACCTGGTGTTCCTTACTGCCTATGAGCAACCTTTCTTGCCTCCCCTTGGCAGACTGATCGTTACTACCAAGCGGCCTCTGTGAAGTTCATTGTTTGTGTAGGCATTTCCATGTTGTTGTCCTAATGTGCCACCAGGATCCTATTTTGATCTGGTAACAGCTTAACATGTTCAACCTAGCTTCTTGGATAGACAAGGTTTGATATGGCATCAGCGATTAAGAGAGTTCCTATCATGGGATTGAAACTGCTGCAGAGCCAGGTCTGGCTGACTCCTTGCACACTGTGCATATGCTCCCTCAGCCCAGTTGCATCTCTTCCTGTTCTCAGAGGACAGAGAGACACGGCTCAGGAATCTGCAGTCCTCACATCACCATGCAGCTGCCCCTGTCACGGAGGCCTTCAGTCTCCAACTGTTCTTCTGACTGTTCCCCCTCCAGACTTGTACCAGAGTGCAGCTGAAACAGCCATAGCCTCCAGTGTGCTCATTGTAATGACTTTTTGTCAGAGTCCATAACTTGCTGATGAGGGTCCTGTGATGTGTTGCAGATATCTGGTATGTATATTGCTTTCTAATTTATACTTTACCCTGTTCTTTTTTCCCAGGAGATGAGCTTTTTGACACCTATATGGGTGTTACTGTGGTGACTGTAACCAGACAAAAACATACAGTTTGTATAGAGATAGTTTTACATTTGTGGACTTGGTTATGATTAAGAGATTTTTAAAGCATGCTGTATTTTTTCCCCTTCATTGCAGAACAGAGAGAGGTTTCTCATGAGCTTTCAGTTGCACGCTATGAAGTGGAAAAGTATGATTCATCTTCAAAAGCATGTGTGTATTGGTGTATATATATACAAACACAGACATATTATGCAAACAAATGTTGTGACTTTTAGCTAGTTAGAGATTTAGAACACATTTCTCCAAGCTTAGTTATGATTGTTTAGATGCTTCTAATTTCTTTATGCTTTATCTGGATTTCTTGTTTATCTCAGAATTTTCAGGGTTTATAATTCGTGGGTTTTGAATAATAGGAATATCTCTGTAATATATTTTACTGTAAATCACTGCCATGTAGCCTTAACATTTCCTCCATCTTCAGGGTGGGTTTTTTTCAGTCTTATAATGTCATTTCCCTGCAGTATGAGGTTTTTGAGAAGACAGCATTCTGTGATTCTCCCCTGAGTGCCTTTCCAAAAAAGGTGAGAATGTGCTATCTGAAAGATGTGATTATTACCCTTAAAATTCACAGTTATAACTATATGAGTTTTGAACCCAAATGTATCATTCTAACTTAGGTTCTTAGGGAAATAAAACAGAAAAGTGTAGCAATTAATGAAAAGGAGGATTGTAGTGCAAAGCTAAATTCCTAATATACTGATAACTGCAAGTTAATCTCAGCCATTAGGTATGAGAGCTGTTTTCCTCTGGTGTGCAACTCTCTCTGAAATTCTAGTGAATGTTAATAATAAATTAGAAGACTGATAAGCTCATTTAAGACAAGAAATGCACCAAATGCTACATTTCTTAAGGAGACCATTTTTAATGAGTCACAAGGTAATAGAAGACTGAGTTGAAAATCGTCTCGAATGTTGCATATCTTTGCTTAACAGTGACTGAATGAGAGGGTACAAGGCACCCTTTGATCAAATAGTTTGAGCGCCTTCCCATTACAGCCACTGTATTTCACCTCCTCAACTTAGTTCTGAGCCTGGTAGCTCATGTGTGACAGCAGCAGATCCTCAGTAAGGCGTCAAGCCTTGATCTGAAGGATGGGGGATGGAGAAGGATGAGATGGAGAACTGTTTCTTTCAGTCATTTGTTAACCACCCCATCATTAAAAATCTACACACCTTTCTTTGCCTGCCTCCCAACAAGCATAGGGAGGATAAGCAGCAACTTTACGTTTAATGAAAAGTTTGTTTATCCACTCTGGGTACAGTTTAGCCTTGACCATGGAACTGTGACTGTACTTCTGTAAAAATATCTACCACTCTGAACTTCATGTCCTCATGGAGCTGCATTTTTCAGAGTCCCCAGAGCTACACAACAGTTTAGCAAGGGAAACAAACCTAGAAGACAAAGAACCACAAAGGAAGGGAAGAAAATAAGCAGTGAAGAGACATTATGTGTTGCATGACACTCCTCTAATAGAAAAGATCTTGGACACATATATGCACATGAAAGAAAATCATGTCTTCCAGTAAATAGTGTCATCCTCTTTTTATTCTTTTTTTCCCTGGTACTTAACATAATCTTTGTGCCTTTAAAAAGTTAAATGTAAAGTTGTGGGAGGGGGCTGCAAAATGACTCCTCTGGACCTGGATCCATACTGCCCCACGGCTTCCCCCTCTTCTTGCCATCATGTTTGTTCCCATAAAACAAGAAATTGTACAGGATATGAGCATAGTCCAGATATTATCTAAGTCTTCCAGCTGCTCCCTGATTCATTCACCTAGGTTTGGAGTATTTGTGCCAACACAAAGTGAAAGACAAAATCCACATCCTAAAGAGTGGGAGAGCAGCAATCCTGTGAGTCAGTGTTGCCCGTTGGGTCACATTCTGGACTTAGGATCAGGTGTTTCAGTTTCAAGGCTGGTCTTGAGACTGTGTTCTACTTGATCACTTTAACCTCCTCAGTAGCGAAGCTCTTCCCTTGAAATCCTCAGTGTCTTTTCTTCTTGCTTCTCATTTGAAATCTGACAGGCGTGATAGAAATTGCATGTACCTCCAACTCTTTCCCAGCCCACTTGGTAAATTTGTATTGATCTAGTTCTAATATATCTACTAGGTAACAGTGTGGCAGGAGACATCTTCACCCTGTCACCTGATGTTTTCAGAACAACATTTCCATTGGAAAGCTTGCTCCAGATTACATGCTGGAAGACATGAATGACACTCAGTGGAGTTAAAAGGAGGGGTAACCTTTACGGGGTCTAACCCAGATTTGGTCTGAAAGAAGTTTGGAGAAGTCTGGAAGAGATTGACCCAGGCAGCCTGTCCCAACCCCAGACACTGACTGGAATGATGTCTCCTTGAGAGCTTTATTCCACACTTGGAGGAGAAGGGGTGTGAGCTTGTGTACACCCACTGTGTGTTTTTCTACATGCTTCCTTTTCAGTTCAGACGGGGGAAGCCGATGTACTTCTACTTTCCTCTCTTCAGTAATTAATCCAGGAGAAATGACTATGTCATGCAGCACTTGCAAATTGAGCACACAGTGATGGGCAGTCTCTATTGCTTGAGTTCATTATACCCTCTTCCTTTTCAAGTCAGTCATATTATGCATGATTTTGCACCCAGTCTGCCTCGATACATTTTGAATTGTGCTTTTCAGGGTCTTATATTCAGTCTCAGAATCTTCATGTGCACAAATCATTCTTTCATTCTATCTGCAGATAGCTGATGATAACATATCATTTGTTTCGGGAAGTTTCTAGAGGTCACCAGTGTCAAGGACCAACAATCTGCATTATCTCCTTTATTATGTGTACTATGGTTTTCAAAATAATATTATTTAACTACCACGTGGCAACTAGAAGCATTCTTGACATTTATGCTTGTTGCAAACATTGTATCATCTTCCCCAATTTTGGAATTGTTATATAAATAAGAAGACTAAAAATATTTCTTATTTTAAAAATCTGGGGAAAATGGAAATAGGTTATTTTTTGCTTTTTCATTCAAGGAACGCATTTATAAGAAAAAGACAACGTTTTAAGTAGAAGATGAATTCATGTAGAAAAGTTAATATTAATTTTGATTAATTTTGTATCTTTTTAATATACAAAAGTTTTAGAGTATGGTATTCACAGCTCCCAGCAGTTAAATATCCTTTGTAAAGAGCTGAGATTAGACAGGACTTGAAGTGGCACATTCCAGCCTTGGACTGGAAGTATGATTTCTGTATGTTCTGCTACTGCTTATCATATCCTCCCCTGATCTTCATAAAAAGGCCAGCTGAAGTATTGCTGAGCCTATGGAAACATGAACAAGTGTTTTCCAGTGTTATCCCAGCAATGTTTTAGTTGATAGGATAGGACTTCTACTCCCATGAATTCCAGTCTTGATGGAAGTGACTGGTGTTCTCTCTCATACTCTAATGAGTATTTGAAACGTTAAGTATGAACAGTGCATTTGAATTATGGGGAAAATTTCTCCTTTACTCAAAAGACCGTTCTCCATGTAACTGCTGCTCTATTAGTTGGGTATAGTGACACTGCAAGCTCTCGATGAGCTTTTGCATATGGGGCCAGAAAGAAACTTCCATTCTATAAGAAAGTAAGTTCTTTTTTGCAAATCTGTATGAATTGCACTACACTACTGGCAGAAGCCACAATTCCCCTTTTAATTAAAATAATGTTATAATAAAAAAGACACTTTGTCACTTACTCTGCAGTTTTAAAATAAACTAGTGCAATGGTTTGAGCCTGATGTAAGTAATGTTCATGGAGAAAAGCTTCATCCACTTCTTACTTGGGCAGTTTCTATCTTCTTGGGAAAAGAGACGTGAAAGATTTGACCCCTGACTGCTTTCCAGCAGTTTGCTGTGCATCGTAGTAAGTAAACACAGAATTGTTGCCTCTTTTTCACATTCTTTCACTAACTGTTCAGAGAATGAAATGTTCTCACACTAGAGTCAAAGCCAGGGCACACATATGCGTGCTGCCCTCTGCAACTAGTCTTTCCCGTGTATTTTGAATAAAATGTTCAAATGTTCAAAATACACAAAATTCACAAGCATCTGTGAAAAAATAAGTACTGTTGTTCACAGGCAGTCTAAAGGAGCTCTTCAGACCATGATGAGCAGTCCACTGCATAGCCATAATGTTCAGAGGATGGAAAAGAAATTGTACTACTTGTGTTCATGTAGCCTGAACTTAAACTCAGGGGCATTTTATACCAGGCAAAGACAGGAAACTTGCTTTCACCTCAGAGAAACATATCCTTGAAAATCGTATGGACACTTTGGTGACATGCACCTGTGAAATTAGGAGCAGAGAACAAATTTTAACCTTGCGAGTTTGTGTATGTCTGTTCTTCCTGGCCCTGGAAGTAGTTTGGTTTGGGTTTTTTTTAATACAGTTTTGTATTTCCAGAGGGATGGTTTCTACAGAGTTCCCTGGTGTTAGTTACATCAGCATTTTATAGGCTGCTCATGTAAACTCTTGAGCTTTCATGGCTCTCTCAGTATTAGCTTTTTAATATAACACAGTTCATATTGGCTTTTACTGCTGTTTAATTTAGGTTGGGTGAGGTTTTTTGTGGCTCTTCAAAAGCAAGGAATGTGGCCTATGCTTGTTTGAAATTTTTCTTGTCTGTGTAAACGTGCTATTGACATCCTTTTTAATTCTTGCATATTGTAACACTCTAAGACCTAAACTTGCCTATATTCCTCATGCAGATAATTACATAGCAAACCCAGATCTCCTATTACAGGTGGGAACCCAGAACTTCTAGATAGTAACTGTAAATCTCTCCTACCTTTGTACCATATTTTGGATGTTCCACAGATCCAGACATCCATAGCTGAATTGTCTAAATAAATCATTCTTAGCAAGTATTACACCTTATTCAAAGGACACGTGCAAATAATTCCCAGCCAAATGTTAGTTACTGGCTTTTGAGTTCACGTGCTTTTTGAAGTGATCCCAATATCACTTCTCTCTTCTGGACATCTGAAATGGTTTAAAGCAACATGTGGTTTTTCACCCTCCTGTAAACAAAATGCAATTTCTAACTAGAGTGAAGGAAAATGTAAAAGTGTATTTTATTTCATTATATTCATGTTTATAACAGCATCTATACTCAACAGATAGAGAATTTTCTATCTAGAAATATCTTTCTTAATAGTTATCTAGATAAATTTGTATGGGCAACTCAGCTGAAGAAAAGCCTGTGTATAAGATGCTGAGAGGAGCAAAGCTTATGTTTTCATAGGTCTTATGAGGAAAGGATGTTCTTTCTTGTGCATTAATGTGCTTCATAAGAATTCCTGGGAAGCTGTCCAGCTATACATAGTAAATATTTCACATACCAGTAAAGTGATTCCTCAGCAATTCAAGCAATCAGCACAAATGAGACTTAATTTATGGTGAATATCTGCACCTGTTAAACAGTGAAATAGGCTCCTGACATGAATGATCCTTTCATGCTGTTATTTAGCTAAATTTTTGAAAGGTCCTATCTTTACCAATTATAATCTTAAAAAGATCATAGGTTTTAAAATATATCTAGGCCTGAATGTTGAACTTTTATATTGAAGAGGCAATATGTGTGATTTTGAGCCAAAATAAATATATTGTAGGGCTCAGATCAACACCATCAAGGGAAGGCATAAAATGTGCCTATTACTGAATTAGGCATTTGTTTTGTATATCTAATGATAAAATCAATACATGGTTCCATCAGAGGAGAGATCCATCAGCCTCTGTCTTGCTAGCATCCAATCAAGAGATTGAATTTGCAAGCTTTGATGGGAAGAAATGTTTCTCCATCTTTTGACAATCCATATTACCTTAATTTGGACAGCTTTTACACAGAGCTCCACCAGTTTACTCAAGCATTGCTTTCAATATCATTTCATTAAATCAATGCAAAAGGTTGTGTTGACCTTTTGAATGTATATTTAAATCTGATCAGTGGAGTTTAAATCGATAAGGAACTGATTTTAAGGCAGCTTTTAAGGCAAATAAGTGTGTCCACACAGGGTTCCTCAGCTGTTCAACAAATTGATGTGAAATCCAATTTAAATTAAGCTGCTGTAAACAAACCACCGTTGTGTTGTGCGCGAGTCCCAAATGTGCCCTCCAAGTTCTATGAGAACTTTCTTTTTAACTTGAGCAGAGAACCTGAGGGAGATGCAGTTAATGGAGTGGAATCTGCTCATCTCTGTCAAGAAGGGGGAGGTGATTATAAACCATGGCAAGAAGCTTACAAACAAATATCCAAGGTTCAGCTGAAAGCTGCGTTTATAAACCTGTACACTGCCAAAAGACTTTTCTGTCTTGACAGCTATAATTGCAGTGAACAAGATGGGTTGCACTCACCAGACTCCAGCAGGAGGAGGCCTCTTTATCCCACAGGCTAAAAAGATCAGAAGTGAGTTTATAGGAAACCCCCTCTATTTCGTGTTCGCTAGGGACTGGAACACCTAAGATTTCCAACTTTCAGCTTGCCTTCCCAACAGGTCTGGTGTTTTTACAGAGTAGATTATTCCTCCCTCCTGATGCCTCACCAAAGACTTTTGCATGACTGCAGAGGAGCCCCTTTATCTTCACAACCCGTAAGTCTACAGGGGAATTCTAGAGCCTTCTGGCCTCGCATCAGAGAAATGGGAGATGGAAAATGAACCATAATCCATATTAATTCATAATGCAAATAAGATGGAATGAAATGGTGTGGTGGGTTGACCCTGGCTGGATGTCAGGTGCCCAACAAAGTTATTCTACCACTCTCCCTCCTCAACTGGACAGAGGAGAGAAAATAGAGCAAAAAGCTCATGATGCAAGGACAGAAGAGATCATTTACCAATTACCAAAAGTTGTCATAGGCAAAACAGACTCGACCTGGGGAAATCAGTTCAATTTGTTTCCAATCAAATCAGAATAGGATAATGAGAAATAAACCCAAATCTTAAAAAAAACCCACCTTTCCTCCCCCCCTCCTTCTTCTCAGGCTTAACTTTACCTTCAGTTTTCTCTACCTCTTCCCTTCCAGTGGTGCAGGGGGATGGGGAATGGTGGTTGTGGTCAGTTCACCACATCTCTGCTGCTCCTTCTTCCTCAGGGGAAGATTCCTCACACTGTTCTCCTGCTGCAGTGTAGTGTCCCTCTCACAGGAGATGGTTCTCCACAAACTTCTCCAGTGTGAGTCCTTCCCACAGGCTGCAGTTCTTCATGAACTGCTCCAGCATGGGTCCCTTCCATGGCTACAGTCCTTCAGGAACAGACTGCTCCAGTGTGGGTCCCTTCCACGGCTACAGCCCTTCAGGAACAGAGTTCTCCAGCATGGGTCCCTTCCATGGGTGCAGTCCTTCAGGAACAGACTGCTCCAGTGTGGGTCCCTTCCATGGGTGCAGTCCTTCAGGAACAGACTGCTCCAGCATGGCTCCCTTCCATGGCTACAGTGCTTCAGGAACAGACTGCTCCAGCACGGGGCCCTTCCATGGGTGCAGTCCTTCAGGAACAGACTGCTCCAGTGTGGATCCCTTCATGGGGTCACAAGTCCTGCCAGCAAACCTGCTCTTTCCATGAGGCCGCAGGTCCTGCCAGAAGCCTGCTCCAGTAAGAGCTTCCCACGGGGTCACAGCCTCCTTTAGGCATCCCCTTACTCTACCATGGACCTCCATGGACTGCAGGGGCACAGCCTGCCTCACCGTGGCCTTCACCATGGGCTGCAAGGGGATCTTTGCTCCAGTGCCTGGAGCACCTCATCCCCTCCTTTTGCGCTGACCTTGCTGTCTGCAGAACTGGTTCTCTCAACTGCAATTGCTCTGTACAGTAACTCTTCCCTCTTAAATATGTTATCCCAGAGGCGCTAACACCATTGCACAGCCTTGGCCAGCACGGGTCCATCTTGGAGCTGGTTGACATCGGCTTTGTTGGACACAGGGGAAGCTTCTGGCAGCTTCTCACAGAAGCCACCCCTGTAGCCCCCCCCACTAGCAAAACCTTGCCACACAAACCCAATACAAATGGGTATTTTTAGAAGGGAATGATTACCTGATAATTTCTACACACCAACAAAATGACAACCTGGGTTTTAATGATTGAGTTTAAAAATACAGTGAAATACAAACATACAATCATAGAATCATGCAAGAAAACACACTGTGAGAGAAAGCAGGAATGAAATGAGCAAACAGAAGGGAATAGTGGGGTAAATTGAGGGAAATCTAATTTAGCATAAGCAACTAAATCATTAATCAGGTAACGTGCAAGTTGCACTTACGCAAACTTCTAGGGGCTATTGGTCCCTCAGCCTTTCCACCCCACTCTTGCGCTGATAAATTGTCATCTGCCATATTTTCCCTTGTAGTAGAACTGCAGAAAGAAAATTAACAGTTTTCTTTATACTCTCCAAAGTGTTTCCATTAATTCAGTTTTGCTGTATGAAGGATGAGTTTTAAGGGCTCTTCCTTGGCTTCAAGCCCCTTTCTAACCAAGAGCTGCTGTTTGACAAGTGTTTGCAGAAGCTGTCTTAGCCAGTCCAACCCCCAGCAAGAGAAATGTATCTAAATGCAAAGGTAGGTACTCTGTCAATCTTTGTGTGAGTAAAGGAAGTTAAGAGAATGGGACTTCGTTTTTTCTCCTCCAGGGAATCAAAAGGGGCTGGTAGCTGCTGATGGTTTGGCTCTGTATGGCATTACCAGACCTCTGGCCTCTTCCTTTTAACAGCTTTCCTGGTTCCTCAAAGTTACTTATCATACTCCTATTCAGACCTGTGCAACTGGTTGTCCTGAATGATTGCAGACTCACAAAAGAAGGTTATGGGATGTGGATGAACTTCAACACAAGGCTCATCCACGATAAACTCATGAGTATTTCTATATGAAGTAAGGGAGTTAACTCCTTGGTAGTTGTAGTAAACACTCACCTGATATAGAACTATCTGTGTATCTATCTTGTTAAAACCTCCCTGAAGCTGTTGCATGTTGTTCTGTTCTTTTTTGAGAAAGTCTTGCTGATAGTGCAGGTAGGTGGGAGAGTATTCCTAGTGCTGGATATGCCTCTTTCCTCTTCCTCGTAGCACAGATAGGAATCAGTGAATCCTTAAACTGGGTTGAGAAATACAACTTATGAATGTGGTGAAAGAAGAAAAACAAGCAAACAAACAAGAACACAGTGACTGGAGGGGAGAAGGGACTACATCCTTTGCAGTGCTACACAACCAAAAAGCAAAAATTACCAAAGCACTAGGCCCTGCACCTTACACTTCTATTTTCTGCATTTCCTGAAAGAGTCAGGATTGGGAAGATCCATGAAAGCTGATCAGTAAAAGCTTGCTGCTTCACATGGCCCTTCTCTCTTTGGAGTTCTGCAGATCCAGTTGTGCTGAGCTTCAGAATTAAAGGAGAGGATGTTTGACGCAGCCAGATACACAAAGGTGTATGAAACTGCAAAGAATTATGACAGTTTGTTAATTTATTGTTTGGTATAGACTGGCAGGCAGACCATCTCCTGTGGGAGCTGCTGGCTGAGATGCCATAATGAACTTTCCAGTGGAGTCCAATGTAAGCCTAAACTCAGGATATTGTCTTTACCCAGGCATTCACGACAGCAAGCAGTTAAATGTCAGAAGTATTTGAAATTCTGCTTCTGAGAACTGAGTTAGGCACCACAGGTTTTGTTCTGGCTTATGCTGGTATGGGAGACAGGGGACTGCTGGGTCCCTCACTCTTGGTTTCTTCTGTAATACCCACATAGTTTTCACACTGATAATTGCTGTTTCTGGGGGCCACCTCATTTGTTTTTCCAATTCCTTTGTGTCTCTCTGAGAAGAAGTGGTGTAAAATTTGTTACTTTTTTGCCCTGAAATCACATCTGAGCTGCACTTTCAAATTCTGCCTCCCTCCTTCTCCTCCTCCCCACCCCCTCCCCCCCCAAAAAAAAGCTTGGAGTTGGATTTTTACAGTTTTCAGTTGGCAAATGGTACCTTTCCTATTACTATGAGGGGCTTCAAGAAAATGTTTTTACCAATAGCAGCATCTACGTCAAAGAAGGATGGCAAAGGCTAATGAATGGTGTCAGTTAGAAGTGATCTTCAGAGGGATTTCGGGGTACTATATATTTTGGAAAAAGGACAGAGAATTAATGTGGGAAGACAAATGCAAAGCTGTAGCTCAATGGTTTTATCTCCTTTCAAAGAGCATCAAAACTTTTGACTCAGTGGAGTTAGTTTCCAGACCTCCCTTTCTTGATAATGTGATTTTTTGCCTTCTGATTTTACTGCTTATTCCCTCTCTGTGACTCTCTCCCCACATTGAGGACTGTCAGGGAGAAGTGGTGGATAAGAATAACTATAAACATATTTAGTGTCTCCCACACAGCAGTTTGGAACTGCCTTTCCTTGTGTTACAGAAGGTTCATAGAGTTCCCAGATCAGTAGGAGTTCATTGATTTATATGCAGGCAAGCTTGTGTTACTACTCTGGTTACTCTCCTGGTTTTTCCTGGCTACTGTTAATTAGCCTGGCAGATCTTCCAATGTTGCTTACATGCAATACTGGATGAATATAACTACTTGTATTGAGCTATCATAACATCCTCCTTTATTTTTTTACTTTTTGCATCATTCTTTTAAGGATAAAAGGCACTTTGAAGATTCTTGACTAAGCAATGGAGGTCCAGACTGTGACCTGGTACTCAAATGATGTCTCTAGTGCGGTTAGCGGTGCTGTATCTTGCATTTGGACTATCCCATAGACTCTTGTCACATCATATAGCTCTTCTGGGATGTTTGGGTTAAAAACCATTGCTCCCCTGACTGCTTTCCTGTTACCCTCTGACAGACTTGCCCTCTTTCTGAATTACAGTCTCAGCCTCTGTCCCTGACATCTCTTCAGGATCCCAGCTCAGGTTAAAGCAGGACACTTTCCTGCGTATGCATTTTAGTCGCGGTTGCTGGAGGCAGTTTCACTCTCCCACCTCTTTTTCAGCCTTGTGAATAGAAGAGGCGGCCGGGCTGCAGGTATGGTGACTCCTGGGCCTGAGTCACGTCTCCTCAGGCTATGGGCAGCATGGAAAGTCCTGGCTCCCCTGGGGACCTCCAGCGCAGGCTGCAAGCCCGGCCGCAGAACATGTCCTCTCCTCCGAGCAGGAGGTGGGATGCTGGTTTCTCTCGGGAGGTGGCAGCACAGGCAGACGCGATTCGCATCTGCAGCTTGGCGGCCAGAACTGCAAAGGGGTGGCAGGGAGGCGGTGGGGTTGGTGTGGGATTCCTTCCGTCCTAAACTGAAGCTCCGTAGTTGGAGGTAAGGATTAGGATGGGGAGCATGAGGGTGTTGATGCATAGGAGGGATCGCTTCAAACCCTTTCTTGAAGCGGAGTGGAATCAGCCCAACATCCTCACTGTAACACACTGGGGTCCATCTCTCCTGATCAGATTCCTTTGTATCAGCTGCAGCGGATTGTCAGGTATGGTGAAGGCCTGAGATTCTGCTGTGGGGAGAGTGTCATTTGGTGGCCAGGGAGCAAGACCCCTAGCTACTTTCTCCCATGTGTGGGGAAAGGCTGTCTACAGGAGATTGGGCACAGCCCTTAAGTAGCAGGGTTTTTGCAAGCACCTACTTAACCTGCAGGCTGCCACAATACTTGTATGTTATTTTATCTGCAAGTTATCAGGCAGCGTTAGGTAAAATGCCATGAGAAAGGAAGAGCAATGATTAGTCACCATCCCATTAAATGCTACAACCTGCTCCTCTCTCAGAATCTCATCTGTTCTTTTTATCTAGATTTGTGAAGCCTGGAAGCTCTGGTTCTTGCCTGAGGTTTTAGTAATGGATCAGAAAGCCAAGGATACTATAGGTGATACAGTGTGACCATCACCTGGAAAACACGCACAGATGCAGGGGGTTGGGTTTCTGCAGAAACCAGACACAGTCTGGTCCAGAAATCCATGGGTATATTGCTTAATATACCCCTCTGTCTCTATTCTTTGAATTCAGCCAGCCAAGAACACTGAATCAGCTGGGGATGCTGCAGAGCCTTGGTGGGAGGATGTTTGCTTACTTCATGAACTTTGGGAAGTTTTGTGGCAACATGGGAAACACAGTAGATTCAGTTTTGCCCCAGTAGTAATTTGTGAATGCTGTCTGTAGGTTTGGGCATCCAAAAGCAAAGGGTGCTGCAAATCCCAATTCAGTCAATTCAAACTGTGTTAATAGCATCAGCAACTAGAGGGTGGCCAGCCAGCCCTACAGTCCTTCAAAAAGTAAAACAATGTACTTGAGTTTTACTCCTTGTTTTATAACCACTGAAGGGGAACTAGTCTCATATACCAGGTAATTCCTGCTTGACACTGCTTAGGGCACCATTGAAACCACACCTTAAGCAGGCAGCACTGAGATGGTGAAGCACAGAAAGGCAACAGAAAAACCTGAGGTTTGCAAGCACTTAGAAAGGGGCCACCTCCCATTTTTTTCTCCCCACTCTTTGCTCCCGGCAGCCTTGGAAGGCCCATCCCTACTCTCGTGACTGTACAGAAAAGGAAATTTTCTCTAAAGTGTCTGAAAGTGTTGAAATTCTCTCTTTCAGAACAGTTTCATTCCTGAGAGTAACCCTCATGCCCCAGAGAGAGCTTGTGGCATTGGCGTGTGCACTAAGGACAAGTGGTGGTAACAGAGGATGTTCATAGAATCAATCATAGAATCACAGAATAGTTAGGGTTGGAAAGGACCTTAAGATCATCTAGTTCAACCCCCCTGCCATGGGCAGGGACACCTTACACTAAACAATCTCACCTAAGGCTTCATCCAACCTGGCCTTGAACACTGCCAGGGATGGAGCATTCACAACCTCCCTGGCCAACCTATTCCAGTGCCTCACCACCCTAACAGGAAAGAATTTCCTCCTTATATCCAATCTAAACTTCCCCTGTTTAAGTTTTAACCCATTACCCCTTGTCCTGTCACTACAGTCCCTAATGAAGAGTCCCTCCCCAGCATCCCTATATGCCCCCTTCAGATACTGGAAGGCTGCTATGAGGTCTCCACGCAGCCTTCTCCAGGCTGAACAGCCTCAACTTTCCCAGCCTATCTTCATATGGGAGGTGCTCCAGTCCCCTGATCATTCTCGTGGCCCTCCTCTGGACTTGTTCCAACAGTTCCATGCCCATTCTATGCTGAGGACACCAGAACTGCACACAATTCTCCAGGTGAGGTCTCACGAGAGCAGAATAAAGGGGCAGGATCACCTCCTTCGACCTGCTGGGCACGCTCCTTTTGATGCAGCCCAGGATATGGTTGGCTTTCTGGGCTGCAAGCGCACACTGCAGCCAGCTCATGTTCATTTTCTCATTGACCAGCACTCCCAAGTCCTTCTCCTCAGGGCTGCTCTGAATCTCTTCTCTGCCCAGCCTGTAGCTGTGCCTGGGATTGTAGCTGTAGCTGTTCTTTGCCCAATATGTAGCTGTGCCTGGACCATCTTGTCTGAGGGGCTGGGAAGCCAAATGCAAAAGGCTCAGGCAGTGAAGACTGGAAAGCAAAGCAACCTGTTCTGTGTGCATTTTCCTTCTGATCTGGATAGTTCTGGGATAGATGGATCCACACTGCTGCTGTGTGGATCCCTCTGTTCTGGTGACTTGGAGGAACGAGTTTTGTCAGTGCCACTGCTGTAAGGCCTTCTACCTGGTCCCCATGTAGGTGTAGTCATGGAGAGCCAGGCCTGCCAGCAGCTGCCCCTCCACTAGCAGTTACACAGCACCCAGTCAGGCACACAGGTTCAGAGGGTGAATGCACGGGGGTGGAGAGGGAGGCAGTCACATGGGGATAAATCCCATGTAAGAAAATATTGGCTGCAGAAAAACAACAAACAAGCAAACCAAAAGACAACAGAATGAGTATAAAGGAGAAGGGCAACAACCAAAAAGGAGACACTGGGTTTGGAAGGTAATTGCACTAGTCACCAGGTTGTTGGTACCTTGCCTGTTGGAATGGCTTGTGACAACTGGGAGGAGTCTGTCTCATTTTAATTGGGACTAACGATATTCAGAGCAGTTGTCATGTGTCACCTCGGCTGTCTGTCTCCCTGCCTTTTCAGCTTGGCAGTCTCCTCTTTTTTCCCCTGCATGTCCCAGTGATTTGAAAAATAATCCATTCTTCAAAGCACCCCTGGTAATTTGGACCAGTGTTGCATTTCTGTTGAGGCTGATGCTTTTCAAATCCACAGCCTTTCTTTCTGCAGCAATCACTGACACTTCTCTGTAACACACAGCAGGGGGAAAACAGGTCTGAGGGGCTGCACTTTTCCTAGGAGGAGATGGGGGGAGGCACTAAGATTGACAGAAAACAGATTATTTTGTGTGCAGCAAATTGGGTAACTTAGACCTTTTTATGATGTGCAGGACTGTTGGGGAATATCATCACTGATTTCACTCAGTGAAGCACGCTGGAGTTCTCTTAATGTCCTTCCCATTGTCAGTATTATGTATCTGCACACACAAATCAGTGAATATTAACCAAATAAGCACGCAGATATAGGTTCTGTTCTGCACCGTCTGTTATCTTTCTTTTCTGAAAGCACCTCCACCTTTTTAGCAAGACCTGCATTGCTACACTCCTTTTGCTGCCAGATACAGGAAGATCAATCCAGACAACATGATTGCTGTCTGCATGGCTTTTACCCATTGGCAACCATCTCCTCGTGGTGACATCAGCTGAGGTGGAAAGACTATAATTTTATATCACAGTAGTCATTTAAAGTAAAAATGAACATTAACATTTCTCTGGTATGCACCTGCCCTGCTCTACATGTTTGTTTACCATCCTAGATTCCTGCTGACTAGTGTCCTACTGGAGTCATTACCACACAGACTTAGGGGTAAGCACCCACATCCCATTTTCAAGATACAACTTTGCAGTGGCCTTCACACTACAGTCCTGAATAAGGAGCAACAGGACAAACCCCTGAATCTTTGCAGCTTCATTTCATTGATAGCAGTAAGATATGCACCACAACCGGGCAGCGTCTGGGGAAAGGGGCAGTTAGGTGAAATGGGAGATTCCCATGTTGATAACTACAAGGTGTATAGATGAGAGATGGCATTTTTTTCTTCTTCAAACTTATCTTTACTCTGCATATGTAACTTTCAGGCTCAGCCTGACACTGCACACATTTAGTTATGTGCTTCAGTCAAGGCACAAGTGTTAAAGGTCTTTCAAATACGAACCCCATTGAAAATTATCCCAACACATCCAATGGCAGCATCACCTTGTGCTTACCACAGGCCCCTACTTGAGGTTAAAGCTCATTTGGAGATTGGCAGACATCCCATCCCAGCAAGCACTGGATCTCTGGTAAAGGCTGTGTGCGTACAAGGCAGATATGGTGGAGTCAGACCAGAACAGTGCTGTTTGGCCCAAATGCTTGTGACAGGTACAGTACGGATATTGCTTGCCTGTTTATACACAGGAGAATGCCCTTTATCTGCTTTTCTCTGCTACCTCCCCCTTTTCACATGCATGCAGCAATGTGGTGTACAAACTGATTTAAAGGCTTGACTCTCCAGAGACAGCATGTCTACCAGGATGTGCAAAGCTGGTGACATTTCAAGGTACGCTAGGGAGGCATCTTCCCCCCAGCTTCTGTATCTTGGGGAATACTGGTACTGACCACCTCAAAGAAGTACTCTGAGCTGTGCTGATGGAGAGAGGAAGCTCCCAGTACTAACTTTCATGCCTGTTGTTACCTATCTCTGCAACAGAATAGGCAGGGCTCAGGCAGCTCTAGCAGCTGCAAGTAAATTCCATGTTAGTTATAGCTATTGTTAGCCTAATTTGCGTGCCAAAAGAGTAGCCTGGACACTGTGAATTCTATCTAGCAACCTGACATTTCATTTAAAAAAAGTAAGCGGACTGACAGTGAATAGAATGGCTACAGCAGTTAACACCAATGACCCTTCCTCGATCTGCACTTGCTGGACACCAACTTAAATGTAATAAAACAAACTAAACGCTTATTCAGGGCTGAAGCCCTCCATATGAGGGCACAGGGACAACTCCGGGGTGATTTTAGTGAGGAATGAGACCTCGAGAGGGCAAAGCACGGCCTGGGGTCGTACAAAGAGGCGATTCCTCAGGCAGGGAGGCGCGCAGGAGTCACTAACAGCTGCAGGCGGACTCGGTTCCACACCATCGCCTGCTCCCCGCCCCGCGCGTCGGTGCCGGTGTCGGCGTTCCCGCTCCCGGCCACTGCTACACTCCCTCCCTCCCATGGCGCAGGATGAGGTAACTGTGCAGAACCCCGCCCTGCCCGGCGCCTTTAAGCGCTCCCGTCACGTGACATGCAGCACCTGTCAACGGAGGGCATGCCCCGGGTTGGCCCTGCCCACCCCCTTCCGCTCTCCCCGCCCCTCCCCGCTCCGCGCATGCGCGCAGGGCAGGACGGTCGGCTCACGCACCAAAAATGGCGGCCGCGATGGATGTGGACACCCCTAGCGGCACCAACAGCGGGGCGGGCAAGAAGCGCTTCGAAGTGAAGAAAGTGAGGACCGCCGGCAGGCTCCTCGGGGGACGGAGTTGAGGGGGGGGCCAGGGCCGGCCTGGTGGCGGCGAGAGGGGCGGGGAAGAGGACCCCTTCCTGCTCCCCTCACGGAGCCGGGCTCTTGGTTCTGCACCGGCGCGGCTGCAGGGGAGGGGTGGGGCCTGCGGGAAGCCTTGGCATGAACGCGGGCCAATAGTTGAGGCGGGCAGCTGCACGTGGGGCGGAGCCTGGCCAATCAGCGAGCGCGGCTGGCGGGAGGTCTGAAAGGGCTGTCGCTGTCAGAGGGTTTCGAGGGCTGGGTGTCGCAGCTTTGCCGGGCCTTGGCCGCGCTGTGTCCTCCCTGGGCCCTCTGGGCAGCTCGGACCGAGGTGCACTGGTGCAGTGCTGCCGCCTCCTCCTCAGCCCCGGCCCCGCCGCACCGTGTGCTGCGTTAAGACGCCTTGCACAAATTCATGTGGCTCTTTTTTATTTCCTTATTCTTTAAATCGAGCCATAACATCGTGCGTGTAGGCAGCGAACCGTCTGCTGTCACCCTGGCTTTGCCTGCTCCCCCCAGACATAATATTGCTTTTCTGCCTAGTGCCACCGGTTTGTCAGGTGGATGGTGATAATAGCCCCAGCCTGTTGCAGGAGGGAGCAGAGGAGGTGGGGAGGCCCTGTGAGGTTGTGCTGAGGTAGAATTTGACGGAAAATGACTCCTGGGCTGGCTATCAGGAAACATTTCCAGTGCTCTGTGCTTTGTTTGGAATGCAGCTGTCATCACTGGTAGTGGAAGCCTCTGTACAGAGCTGCAGCTCTATGCTGAAGGAGGTGTCTGAGTGACGTGATTGCTTGTCCTTAGGAAATAGGGGCAGATATAATAGCACATGAGAACAGCAGGAAGCGGCACCTTTTATGTGTCAGTGGCATTTATCCTCCCCAGCAAGGTACCAGCGTGCAGTTTGTTGTGTGTGTGTGGCTCTGGTTGTAGGAGTACATTATGATGGGACCTGAAATCTCCTGAGAGTGTGGGAGAGAGAAGGGTGCTGGGAAGTTTCATCCTAGCTGCCTTCGGATGTGGATGAAGTCCTTGAGACCCAGGAGGTTGGCTAGACCTGAAGTTGGAAGGCAGGGGGGAAAAAATCAGACCATTACTGACCCATTTCCTAAATGATGTAGTAGTATTCTGATGGAATTTTATATTGGCACTAATGAAACATCGAAGTACTGATCTACATTGTTATTGCTTATCAATATTTGTCAGTCTGCGTTTCTCCTTCAGAGTCACAAACTGAGGGGAAACAATGAGAATGTTAAAACAGAAACGGAATGTAGTAGAGAAGATTTACTGTAATAGAGTCAATGCAATCATACTGAAAAAAATGGAAGGAAACAAAATACCTAGATTACTTACATAGTAAATGAAGATTATCGTGGCTACCAATATGATTTGCTTTGAATGCTGAAGGCAACCCCACCTTTTTCATACATTTACAAAAGACGTGATTACTGGGGGTTTTGTGCAGAGGAATGAAAAGGCACTATGCTTTTCTGCATAACTTATCTTCAAGTCCTCATTCTGAATCAGTTTTCTGAAATTGCCATGGAAATTTGTAGCAGGGAACAGAGGAGATTGTTCAGGAGTCAGTGAAAGTGTAGCATTAGTGATGATTTTAGTTCTTGACCCCAGCTGCTCTGAGGGAGGTGATTACTAGAAGAACTGCTGCAAGTAATGGAAATTCCTTTTAAAACAGCACCTGGACTGGCTTTTCTCTAAGGCACTGTCCTTTCCATCAAAATTGGAGAGGTGGCTTGAGCTGCAACCTTGCCTCTGGATCTTGAATAGAAATGCAGATGTTTGCATTTGTTTAACAAAAAAGGGGACTTGTTTCTGAATTTGTAAGGAGACATTGAGTCTGGGAGGTATGTGAGAGGAATGTACTACTGCTTTCTAGTAATCTGAACCCACGATAAAGAGTTACTCTGGACTTCTAAGGTATCTTTTTTAAATATCTCAGCTTTTCCATTTAAAAAATACATGTGATTTTGAGAAACAACAAGGATTTCTGTGTGCTGTAAATTCAGTCAAAACTATGTTTTTCTTTTTTCCTCCCCTTCTCTCTAGTGGAACGCAGTAGCTCTGTGGGCATGGGACATTGTGGTTGATAACTGTGCCATTTGCAGAAACCATATTATGGATCTATGTAAGTAAATGGTGGGGAAGACATTGGCAGTTTTAACTTGTATGTGGTGCACAGCTGAAAATTTCCTCTGTTGAGGGTATAATTCAGCACATACAGCTTTCAGTTAGGAAATAAGTCTTCACAGTGCAAATACTAAGCTCTGTTTTATGTAATGGTGAAGTCCTATAATCTGTCTTTGTGACCCCTGTCAACTCTACTGCTTTTCTTGTGAAGAATATCACAGCTATAGATGAGGTGATGTTGCTGAGTGTATCTGGGATACAACAAAGGAAAAGGAGTAAAGAGCCTGGAGGAACTGAAATTATTTGGGGTATTGCTCACAAAGAGAGGTATTAGATTTTGGAGTCAGTCATGTTGATATAGGTATCCACTTTTTGATGACACTCATCAGGATGAAATCTTTTAGCAGTCTGTGCTTGGCCAGGAAAGGCTTTGGACCAGTGACTTCATCTGACTCCTCATTCTACAAAAACTACTTTGCATAAATAAGTTAGTTCTTATTATATTGTGGGGAATCCTGTAGCCACCTAGAGCATTGTTCATTTACAAAGGAGAGTCTAAATAATAATTAAAAAAATAGTAATGCTAGTATTGGTTTGATTTTTTTGTTTTCTGTAAAATTTTGATGGTTCAGCTAGCATATAGGCTTGCTATGTAGAAAAATAAAGAGATAATGGAAATAAGTATACAAATTTCTGTCATGAAATAGGTGTGCATTATAAATTCACTGGTTTCAGTCCCTTGAAGGATTGATAATGAGTACAAAACCATTTTGGTTTTTTCTCAAAAATGACAAGGTACTGCTGGCACCATAACTGTCCATCTTGTTTCAGTCATGAGGGACAGAAGACCTTTTAGTATACCCCAGGTAGGAGTTTGCCTTATTTACCTTTATTACTAGAATGTGAGGATTGTGGAACCCTCCTAAACTGGAGCACGTACAGCTACAAGTGCTTGGGAATGGCCTGTCATGATCTGCTTGTGATCGTTTTGTTGCACCTTGGAACTACTGATCATAGTGATTTACTGTTAGTGAGCCTATCTGAAAATAAGTCGTT